GGTATGCACAGTCTGATTGCTCTCTGAGTATAGTTCCAAATTGCTCTCCTGAATGGTTGGAACAGTTCACAACTACACCAACCGTGCATTAGTGCCCAATTTTTCCACACCCCCTCTGGCATTTATCATTTTCCTGTTTTCTTATGTTGACCAATCTGATAGGTGTGAGGTGGTACCTCAGAGTTGTTTTAATTTGCATTTCTCTAATCAATAGTAATTTAGAGCATTTTTTCATACGTAGTGTGCTAGGGAAGATACAAAGACAAAAATAAAACATGGTTCCTGTCTTCATGAAGCTTATAAAAAAGGTGCTGGGCCTGGAATAAGGAGATCAAATTCTAGTTCTGAAACTTAGGATCCTAGATTGGTCATAGATTTAGAGCTGGAAGGAATTATAGAGGTTATCTATTCCAATTGCCTAATTTTACAGATGAGGAAATTGAGGCTCAGAGAGGGATTGAGAGAGTTATAGATCTGGAAGGGACCTTAGTGGTTATCTTGTCCAAACCCCTCATTTTACAGATCAGGTTGGAGTGGCTTATTTCACAGATAAGAAAACTGAGGCCAGGTGAAGCTAGGTGGCACAGTGGATAGAATGCCAGGCCTGGAGTCAGGAAGACTCATCTTCCTGTACTCAAATCTGGCCTCATATACTTACTAGCTGTGTGACCCTAGGCAAGTCATTTAACCCTTTTCCCCTCAATTCTTCATCTGTAAAATGAGCTGGAGAAGAAAATGACAAACCACTCCAGTATCTTTGCCAAGAAAACCCAAATGGGGTCATGAAGAGTTAGACATGACTGAAAATGACTGAACAACAAAGGTGAAGCAACTTGTCCAAGGTCAGATAGAGAGTGAGTGGCAGAGCTCAGATCGGAGACCAGGTCCTCTGACTTCAAATCCAGGGTTTTTTCCCACTACTCCATGCTGCTGCTTCCTAATGTGTGGTTATGAGTAATCCATCCAATCACTCTGTTTTGCAATCTGTAAAATGGGGATAATAATACTTGCACTGCCTATCTGGGAGGGTTGTTGCAAGGAAAAATGGTATATAAATGTGAACTACTGTCACCGTTATCTGCCAACTGTCACCGTCTCAGAACATGGCCCAACTCTACGTTTGTTTTGTAGGTTTTACATTTGGCACCTAGAAAAATTGATTGGAGGCAGGTAAAGCAGAAAAACATTTGTAGTAGGGGAGGACAGAGGTCTGCAAATTTATTTTGGTTTTTGTTTTTTGGCAGGAGGAGGCTCATAATGTAAGGAATGAAAGGCTGCAGCAGGAGTTTTCATGTCAGCTGGATTAGATCCGAAGATTCCAGGGAAAGGTTTCCCTGGATCTAATGCAGGGGTGGGGATCTGCCAGGGTCAGTGGTGGCAGAATATAGCTTTTTCTGCCATATTCCATCTGATCTGCCTGGTGACAAAATGCTGGTCCTGCATTGAAGAAACATTTCTTTATTGCTATGAGATTTGATTTAAAGTTGGAAGGGATTTTAGCAGTCATCTAGTCCAACCTCATTACAGAGGAGGAAACTTAGGAAGGGAATAGGGAACAAGCATTTACGTAATTTATATAGCACCTATAGCAACATATCAGAAAAGATTAGCAATAGCAATTGAGGGAACAAGCATAGGCAGTAAGTAAAATTATTATTTTTTTGCAGATGATTATTTCAAGTAACCTAGAATCAACTAAAAACAATCAAAACAGCTAATAACTTTGGCTAAGTATCAGAATATAAAATAAACTAACTCAAATTATCAAATCTTCTCTATATTGCCTTCTTCTATGAAATGTTTACTTCTGTATATTGTATACAAAACCTAGCAGTGAAAGATTTATAAAATATTTGGAAGTCTGCCTGCCAAGGTACACAAAGGAATTTTATGACAACAATTACAAAACATTCTTTATAGAAATATAGACAGAAATAATTGGAAAGATATTAATTGCTCATGATCAGGTGATACCAACATAATAAAATGGTAAAACTACCTAAAAGAACTTATTTAATTGACATAGTAATCAAATACCAAAAGGTCACCTTACGGAGCTAGGAAAAAAATGATAAAATTCATTTGGAGGAAAAAAAGGTTGAGGATCTGAAAGGAAATTAAGAAAAGAAAAAAAAAACAGTGGTAAGGAAAGGGGCCTAGGAATACCAGATCTCAAACTATATTACGAAGCCAAAATCATTAAAATTACTTACTACAGGTTAAAAATAAAAGAAGTGTACTAGCAGAAGAGATTAGGTGATCAGCATACAGAAACAAACATAGTAATAATAACAACAGTTAACATTTCTATTGAGCTTACTATGGGCCAGGCACTGTGCTAAACACTTTGTAATTTTCATCTCATTTGATCCTCACAACAGCCCTGAGAGGTAGGTACTCTTATTATTCCCATTTTTAGGATGAGGAAAGCAAGGCAAACAGAGGTGAAGTGATTTGCTCAGGATCACACTGCTAATAGGTGTCTGAGATTGAATTTGAATTCAATTTTTCCTGATTCCAGGCCTACTGTTCTATTCAGTAAACCCAAAGACTGTGATACTCATTGGCTAGGGATTCACTATATGACAAAAAATGCTAGGAAAACTGGAAAGCAGTGTGGCATACCAAGATCTTACATCATATACCATGATAAGTTCCAAATATATACATGACCTAGATATAAAAAGGCCATATCATAAACAAATGAGAAGATCGGGAAGGAAATTTCCTTGTATAACTGTGGTTAGGGGAAGAGCTTCATGACCAAACAAAGGATAGAGAGAATCACAGGACAATTTTGATAACATAAAATTGAAAAGTTTTTGCACAAATCAAACCAATACCTTTAAAACTAGTAGGGAAACAATTAACTGGGGGGGGGGGAATCTTTGCAGTAAATGTTTCTGACAAAGTTCTGACAACTAAGATATGTAAAGAATTGATTAAAAGATATAAAAATAAGAGCCACTGCCCAATAGATAAATGGTCAAAGGATATGAACAGGCAGTTTCTGAGTGAAGAAATCCTAGTTATCAATAGCTATTTGAAAAAAAATGTCCCAAATCACTAATAAACAGAGAAACGAAAATTGAAGCAAATTTGACATTCTACCTCACACCTAGATTTGGCAGAAAATGACAGTTATTAGAGGGTCTGTAGGAAAGAGGTACACATTCATTTTTGGAAGAGCTGTGAATTTGTCCATACATTCTAGAAAACAATTTGGAGCTACACCCAAAAAAATCACTAAACTAGACATAATGTTTGATTGTCTGTACAATCATCATTTTTCTGTAGTACTGTGTATATGGAAATACTATTTTTGGGGGGTGTTTGTTAACTGCAGAGTAAAAAAAAGGGAAAAAGTTAGGTATCTTCCCTATGTACTATGAAAAAGAGGTTAGGACAAATGTGCTTTGTGGATGTATGTTTCAATATTTCTGGTATGTTTGATTCCATCACACTTGATATCTGGGAGGAGATACAGAGGCTGTCATTAGGCCAAGCTTTTCTAGTTTACAATAGGATCCATAAGCACTTACGATTTCCTGGCACATCCATCCTGAACTTAGGGTCACCTCTATGCCATGATGAGAAGCACAGGAGGATTCCTTCTATAGGACAACGTGGTGTGGTAGAAAGGGCACTAGATTTGAAGAGATCTTGGGTTTGAATCCTAACTCTACTTGCTGTTTGACCTTGGATTTCCTTCCTCGGGCTTCAGTTTCTTTATCTGTAAAAAGGAGGGAGGTAGGGTTTGGATTAGATTACTTCTAAATTTCCTTCCAGTTTTAAGGGCATCCTGGGGTATGGTTAGCTCACTTTTCATGTCAGTCACGGGGTGATCCTGAATTCCTGAAGGTTCAGCCAGAGAAGTATAAACGCTGTTGGGTCCGACCTAAGGAAGGGTTTCCCAGCACAAAACCAAAGATGGGACAGCATATTTCTGGATGTCCATTCAGGTCCCTTCCAGCTCTCTAATTCTGTCATTCTGTGACAGTCTCAGGACCAGCTCCACTGTCTGAAGTGGCTCATCACCAGGTTGGCCACCTGGTGGTAGGTTTTCCCCCTCAGTCATAGCAACTCAAAAAGCATGAAGGGATTCTGCTCTGCATCCGTGAAGAGAGGCGAGGCACCAATGAAATCACAGTTGCTCCAAGTATATTATCATGTATTTTCAAAGGTACTCATTTCCTGTACAGGGATGCTATCTATCTCCTCAGAGGCCAAATGCTTCCCTGGGTCTCTCTTTCTCGCCCCCCCCCCCCCCACCCCGGTGAAAGGAAGGGGTTGCATTCAATGATCTCAAAAGTCCCTTCCAGCTAGAATCCTATGATTCTATAATCTTTGGACTCCCTCGATCCCGCTGGGGGCAAACAGATGCTTCCTCCTCCAGCCAAGGCTCTCCTCCCCCAAATGATTACGTCGCACGGGGAGGTGGAGTGAGAGGGGTGAGGGAAGCAGTTGCATCAGACCCTAAGAAGGCTGCTTTGAACCCTCCCCCTCTCCCGATCTGGGTACCCCGCAGCCCTCCCCAGTTGCAACCATCCCCGGCGCAGCAGAGGAGAGGAGGAAGAGGCGGCGCGGAGGGAGGGCTCTCTCCAGCCACTACATGGCTTGCATCACCGGCCCGTCATTAGCCGTCGGCGACGTCCCAGCCTGAACCCGGAAGTGGGCAGAACAAGCCTGTCTCGATAGCAGCAGCAGCAGCAGCAGCTGTTCACACTACAGTGGAGCAAGCTCGACCGACAGACATTGGGGAGGGCGTGGAGGAAAGAAGGAGCGGAGACGGGGCGGGCTTGGAGAGGCAGCGATGGCCTGAGGCGCCGAGGCTACGAGCGGTAGTGGCCAGTGAGGCACGGGCTGGCTGCGCGTCCCTCCGGCCCATAAGGAGAGAGCGAGGCTGAGTGCACTGTACCGCGGAGGCAGCCCCCGTCCCGTCCAGTGCCGCCGCCCGCCTCGGCGTCCTTGTCCCTCCCCCGCTGCCACCGCCGCCTGGGCGGATGGCCGGAGTGTGCCGACGTTCGAGGCTGGAATGGTGCTGGCAGGCGTGCGCTGTGCCTGCCTTCTGAAGCCCCGCAGGAACCACCATGGAGATGATGCTGCTGCCTCCTGTGTGAGTGAGTGGGATGTGGGGGGGGGGGGGGGGGGGGGGGGGGGGCCGTCTGTCTGTCTGTGCGCGCGCGCACCTCTGCGGCGGCGGCCGGGCGGCCAGCATGGGTGGATGGAGGCGTGGAGGGAGGAGGCAGGCACGGAGGGAAGAGCGCATGGAGAGAGCAATGCGCCCTTGGATCGTCTGTGCCTTTTCCCACCTGCCCGCCGTGGCGGAGCTCGGACAGGCTGGGAGCCTGGGGGAAGGGCCTCTCAGTGAGGATGGATGGATGGATGGATGGATGGATGGATGGATGGGTGGATGGATGGATGGATGGATGGATGGACAAATAGATAAATAAGTGAGATCGACCCTGAAGTGGCTGGGTGAGTGGGTGGGTGGGGGTGAGTCCTAGAAGGGTGAATGGGCTGGGAGAAGAAGGGGAAAAGGGGCAGACCTCCCGCAGTTCTGGGGGACAGAAGCTTGCAAACTCAGCCTGGCCGGGCGTAACTAATGATCCCTTCCCGGAGACACTTTAGCGGTCCTGGATTTCTCCATGAGGGGCTTTTTTCCAAAACCGAAGAATACAGATGTGGGATAACTCATCTATGGATGAGTACTTGAGAGGGTGTTGTTTATATCGTCCTTAAATACACAATGTCCCTAAAGTCGTGGTGTTGTTTTAAGCTCGAAAAGCTTAAAGCT